ACCAACCTTACCAACCTCTTAGGAACGGGGGGAGGTCCATAGGGGTTAATTTCAGGTTAAAGGAGTGGCGGGTCAGAGGATGTAACAGCAGAGTCAGGTTGTGCGTTCGAGACACTGACCCCTCTGTCGCTGAAATTATATTTCCTGCAGTCGAGTTTGGAGGGGTTTACATTTAGTTTATATCTGTTTTGTGTTCTTGTGTTGTTGTGGTATGTATGTTCCAGAACCGTAAAGCCTACAAATTTGAAATTTGGCAGGTATGTTCCTCTTGGCTTCTAGGTGTTCACTAAGAAAGGGTTTTTCAAAATTACCACCAGAGTATTAAGTATTTCCTTTATTATTATTATTATTATTATTATTATTATTATTATTATTGTTGTTGTTGTTGTTGTTGTTGTTGTTGTTGTTGTTGTTGTCGTCATGCTGTGATGCTAAGGAGTTCTACTCTCCCTCCCCCACCTAGAAAGAAATCTCTTCCAAATGCAAAACACAAGCAGAGGAGCGGAGGTTCAGTCTCAGTTTTACTTTCACAGTTTAGTCCAGAACAGTTGAGCTAAGCCGCGCCCAGGCTCCTTGCTGTCTCCTCCTTGCTCACACCGCAAATACTCTGCGTGAAATATTTGAAATGGAATATTTGTATTTGAAATACTTCCAAACAGCTCTCAACTCTCTCTCTCATGCTGACAGAACGCTAGCCAGACGAATACCGATGGATGCTGGTAGGCGTAGGCAGAATTCCTCCCCCCCCCTCCTATTTTCCTCCCCCAAAACGAAGCCCAAGCGCATAGTTTCCTAGCGAAGCCCGGGGATGCGGCTGGCGTGTATGCTTTGTTTGAGAGCAGGGGTGCAGGCAGCTTTGAACCCTCTTCTGGGGAAGCGCAAGAGGGTGGACTTGTTTACCGCGTAGATGGAGTCGCCCAGAATCTTATCGGGCTGGAGCCCTCGAGGCCTTGGCTATCGCTCTGTGGTAGATAAGCTCAGAAGCGCCAGGTCAGCCCCGAGGTGTTATCTGTTGTTGTGCCAATGTGCGGCTGTCGTGTTTGCCTAACTTTCTGCGGCTGGACTCTTGGCGAAAGGCAGAGGCGGAGGAAAGAAAAACGGGAACGTGGAAGGGAGTTTGGAGGATGTTTTCTTCCGTTGTCCTTGGTGGGTTCCCACTTTAAATCGGCGCCCCTTGAATCTCTCTGTGCGTGTCCGCACAACCAGGCGCGCGCGCACACACAGGCACTTCCCGAGTGGAAGCTCATCGTGACATGCCAGGTTGCTTTCTTGGAGCTGCGGCCCGGGCTGGGAACGTTTGCGCAGTGGGTTTTCGACGCTGTTGCGTCACCGAGTAGAGCCCCGAATTTCTCTCGTGAAGCGAGACAGACGAGTTTGGCCCCATTTTGCATCCTTTCTCACCACAGTTATTAAGTGAATCACTGCAGCTGCTGAGTTAGTCTCACACGGTTGTTAAGCAGATCCGGCTCCCCCTTTTGCCTGTCATAATGGCCGCAGGAGGGGATCCCGTGACCCTGGGACGCCGCGACGGTCGTAAACACGAGAGTCAGCTGTCCAGCATCTGGATTTTGATCACGCGGCCTGGACTTCCTCGGGGTTTTTTTCCCCTCCTTTGTGAACGTTTCCCTTCTCACCTACAGAACTTCAGAACTAAAGAAGCTGTTTGAAAGGGCAGCAAAACGTTTTCAAAGGAAAAAAACCCAAAGAAAGTCCAGTTGCCTTTGGGGAACAACCGGGAGCTGTGAACCTCCGTAGACCTGGGCTGGGTTGCATGCAGGCCGGTTCTCCGGCTGCAGCCGTGCCTGAGCCTTCCCGGGTTTCCTGGTCGCACAAGGGCTCCTCAGCCGCCTCACACACACACACACACACACTTTGCCTCAAGGCAGCTTCTCTTCTTGACTTCATGGGCCTCCTCATGGGCGGAGAGAGTGTGTGTACGCGTGGGGCTGGCCGGGGCAAGGCTGTTCCGGTCAGGCAGCCTCCCTGCGGGCCTCTTGGGAAGGCAGCCAAGGGCACCGCTCCTTTCTCTCCGCCCTGAGGGAGCGTTGCTGCAGAAGAACACCGTTGGGAGGGACCGTGGAGGTCTTCTAGTCCAGCCCCCTGCCCCCGCAAGAGACCCTATGCCCTTTCAGACCCAATGGCTGCCCAGGCTCTTCTCAGAAACCCACAACTCCCGCAGGCAAGTCGCTCCACCGGTTTATTGTTCTCACGGGCGTAAAATGTCTCCTGAATTCCAGGTTGCTTCTCCCCCCCCCGGATTCGTTTCCACCCGTGGCTTCTTGTCCTGCCTTTTTGTCTTGCTTTCTGGGGCTTTAGGGAAGAGGTCGAGCCCCTCCTCTTGGGGGGCAGCCCCTCCAAACCTGGAACGCGGCTATCCTGATTGATATCACGGTTCTCCTTGTCAGGAAGTTGCAGGTGGCTTCGCTCCTTGGTTCCTAAGGGGAGCAAGGGGCCGGTTTTAAGTTTCCGGGTGTTACCCTAAAAGGGGACCTGACCTGAGGGGGACTCCCATTGCAGCCCTGGTCAAAAGGGCCCAGCAGAGATTAGACTACCTGAGGCTTCCCAGGAAACAACAACCGGATGGAAAACTGCTGGGGACCTTCTACCGCTGCACCAGAGAGAGCATCTTAACTTACTCCACCTCTGCATGGTTTGCCAATTGCACAGGGGCAGATAGGACAGCACCCCAGAGGGTGAATGTCATTGCCCAGAAGATCACGGGTTGCCCTCTCCCCTCTTTGGAAGAGCTTTAGAGCTCCTGCTGCCTTAAGAAAGTTCAAAACATCCTCAAAGATCCAACTCATCCTGGGAACCTTTTTTTTTTGAACTATGACCATCTGGCAGACGGGACAGAATAATAATAAAAACAAGGACAAATAGGCTAAAAAACAGCTTCCATCCCAGGGCAGTTAACTCTCTTGAATGCTGCTGTATAGTGCAACATTAATGCAATATCAGGGGTTTTCAATTCAATTGTGTAGAGTGTGAAGGATGTGTGTTTGTGTTTTATTTTCATGGTCACGATGTGTGCTGAAGATGGTGTTTGGTTTCCTTGTAGGAGGTGCAATGACAAAAGTCAGCTAATACAACTAATGCTAATGAGTTGCTTCTTGTGCTGCCTCCAGGGGCTTTGGAGACTAGGTTGACCCCCTCTACTTCGGGGCAGCCCCTCAGATATTGTAAGGTGGCTCTCCGGTCGCCCCTGGTCCTCCTCTTTGCTAGACTGGACACACCCAGTCCCTGCAATCATTCAGCCTCCAGCCCCCCCGAATCCTCCCGGTTGCTCTTCTCTGCGCTCTTTCCGGAGTCTCCGCCTCTTCTTTACATTCTGAGGACCCCAAGCGGGGGGCCGTATTCCAAGTGGGGCCTCCCCCCTCCGAAGGGGACCAAACCCGTCTCCCCGTTGCCTGTCTCGGCCGGCCGGGGCTCAGCCAGGAAGGGAGGGGTCCTTTCCTCCTTCCCGGAAAACTCGGGGCTCGATGCCCTAAAGCAGCGCCCTTGCCAACCCTTGGGCCCCCAGGGACCGGCTCCGTGGAGGGGCGCCAGAAGGGGGACAGGTTTTGTGTGCTGCCTGCACCTCGTGGGTGGGGGCTTGTCTTGTCTCAGGGCTTGGGCTGGACCGTTCAGGCCGGCCCTCTTCCCCAACCTTGCCGGTCTAAGCAGCCCCAAATCCTGAGGGGCTGTGGGGCTTTTTGGACCCCTGAGCAGCCGCCTCGGTTCCTCCTGCGTGGCTGGAGCTTCCTCAGAAAGGCCTAGGCCACGGAAGGAAGTCGCGCGGAGGAGCACCTGGGGGCACACCAGATAATTGGAAAATATTGGATTGTGCTGAAATGAGTAGATTGACATTTGAAATTAGAGAACAAGAGGATAAACCATTTTATGAAGTCTGGGATCTTTTTTATCAGTGGTTAGATAATAAAACATAATAATAGAATATTTAGAAACTTAGGATATAATGAATATATACTTTCTTTTTCTTTTTTTTCCGTTGATACTATTTTTATAAAATTTTATTCAGATAGATTTGGTATGATTTTACGATTTTTATGATTTGTTGTAAAATAAATTAAGTAAATTATAGTTATCTCGTTAAAGTATGAATTAATAAAACTATAGTCAAATGATTGTTCAGTAATGATACTAGGTTATACAATTGTTGATTGATAATATGAGTTATTATGTAATATAATTATATTAGTGACTAGGAAATGGATGCACAAAAACAAAGTGGTAAACCAACCGATACGCTGTTTGTAAATCTATGAAGGAGGAGGATGTTTTTATGTTTTATGTCTTATGTTTTTTGTGTTTTTGTTTGTTGTTAAAAATCAATAAAACTTTAAAAAAAAAAACACCAGATAATTTAACGGATAGCAGATAATCAGAGTTGGAAGGGACATTGTAGGTCATCTAGTCCAACCCCCTGCCCAAGCAGGAGACCCTGCACCATTTCTGATAGAGGGCAGTCCAGTCTCTTCTTGGAAGCCTTCAATGATGAAGTTCCCACAACTTCTGTTCTAGGAGTTGATTGTTCTCCCTGTCAGAAAATTCCTCCTTATTTCCAGGTTGAATCTCTCCTTGGTCAGTTTCCATCCATTCTTCCTTTTCTGACTTTTGGGGGCTTTGGAGAAGAGCTTGACCCCTTCCTCCTCCTCTCTGGGGCAGCCCCTCAAATATTGGAAGATGCTCTCCTGTCTCCCCTGGTCCTTCTCTTCCCTGGACTAGCCAGGCCCAGTTCCTGCAACCCTTCGTCATATGTTTTAGCCTCCAGTCCCCCTAATCCTCCTGGTCGCTCTTCTCTGCACCTTTTCTAGAGTCTAGGGTGGACTTCAACTCCCAGAATCCCCCAGCCATCCCTTGTGCTGTTCTTAATGCTTGCCCTGTCAATCAAGCCTCTTCTGGGTCTTTTCCCCTAGGGAGCCAACCCCCGCCCCCCTTTTTGTTTTAGGGGAGGGACAGCCTCGTTGTGCCTTGTTTGTGCAGGTGATCGACCTCCCGGCTTGTTTCAGAGCGACTGCAGTGGTGACCGTCACCCTGGGACAGCATGTCGGGCCCGGTACCCAGCCGAGCGAGAGTCTACACGGACGTCAACACCCAGAGGCCTTGCGAATACTGGGACTACGAGTCCCACGTGGTGGAATGGGGGTAGGTGGCGGTGGGTGGGTGGGTGCTGCAGAAGGGTTGGCAGGGGGTTGCTTCTCCCCCCCCCTCCCCCCCCGTGGACCCCCGAAGGAGCCAAGCTTTCCCCCTGCTTGAGTTGGCGGTGGTTTGTTGGCCCGGCCTGCCTCGCCTGGGCTGCAAGGCCGGCCCAAAGATTGGCCCAGACAGAGAGGCAAGAATGCACATGCGAACCAAGCCAGGTCGCTTCTCTGTTGCCATATAATAGGCAGAATTTTGTATTTATCTTGTCACGTTTATGTAGCGGGTACATTGGAGGTGGTGTATACTGTAAGAGCTGCGTGCAACGAAACGTCACTTGAACGTATGCCGCACATTCAAAGGGACAATAAAGTTATTCTGTTATAAGAAGGAAGGAGGAACCCCCGTAATTCTGAGATTACGAGTTCATCAGAAGCCCTCTGAATGGTCCTCTCTTTGCCCCCCCAAAATAATTCCTGTCCACTGTATATTTATCTTGTCGAGAAGCCTCCACCCCCATTTGCCCCACTCAGGTGACCCCAAGGACACAGATCAGCCCCTGAGTGGCCTCAGTGACTCTCTCCAAGAGGGGTGTCCAACTGGATTCCTTCCATCAGCCTGGGGATCCTGCAGCAAAGAGAGCGAAAAGGAGGCCCCTGGGGGATCTGCCAGCCCTGGGGCAAGGGGGGCAGCCGTGCCAGGGGTCCAAGGGAGCCTCTGCCGGCCTAAACTTCCTTCTCTCTCCCTCGATTCCCACAGCAACCAAGACGACTACCAGCTCGTGCGGAAACTGGGTCGTGGCAAGTACAGCGAAGTCTTTGAAGCCATCAATATCACGAACAATGAGAAAGTGGTGGTGAAAATCCTCAAGGTGGGTGGTCAGGTGGCACATCTGCGGGGTTTGGGGGGGACGTTCCTCCTTCACCCAGGCCGCCACGGGCAGCGGGCGGGGGGGAGGGGGGAAGATCCAGGCTTGGAGTCGCCGTAACCCTCCCCTTCCCTCCCAAACGGGGCTGATCCTAGCAGCGCTTCTGCAAAGAACAGGACCGAATGACAAGAGCCGGAAGGGACCCTGGAGGTCTTCTAGTCCAACCCCCTGCTCAGGCAGGAGAACCCTATAGGCCATTTCCGACAGACGGCCGCCCGGCCTCTTTTTTTCAAAGCTTCCAGGGGTGGGGAGAATTCCCCACTTGGAAAAGTTTTTAAGAAGAGGTCGGACAGCCCAAAGTTGCCGGATGGGAGCAAAAGCTTTTAAGCCGGCCAGGGGAATCCGCTCCTGACGGGGAACCTGCCTCCTGTCAGCTACGTGCTGCCTAACATCGCCTGTGGTCCTGCTTAAATGTTTTCAGTTGGAGGGGCAGGTTTAGTTGCATGCCGCCCCGATTCAGATTGGGAGGGGGGGCAGGAGGCGTGGGGGGGGGGTGTCTGGTGGGCCGGCAAAGGCCCCCGAAGCCGAGCGGTAACCGCAGCGGTGCTTTTCCTTTCAGCCGGTGAAAAAGAAGAAAATAAAGCGTGAAATTAAGATCCTGGAAAACCTCCGGGGGGGGCCGAATATCATCAACCTGCTAGACATCGTCAAGGACCCTGTGGTAAGGAGGGGGGGGCTTTTCCTGACCCCCACCCCCCATTGCAGAGGCTGAGCTGCCGGGAGGGGCTTCCCAGCAGCAGGCGGGAAGGGAAGGCAGGGCCGGGTCTGCCGGGGAGCGGGGCTGGTTCTGGGTCCTGGGGGGGGGGGATGTTTGGGTCCAGAGCCCCCCCCCCCCCCCCCAAAAAAAACATTGGAAGGTGTGGCTTTCTGGAGCCCGACTGCTGGCAAGGGGGAGGCTGCAGTCTGGTGTCCACCCTCCCTCCCTAAACCTGGAACATAGAATAGAGTGACAGAGTAATGGAGCTGGAAGGCACCTTGGAGGTCATCTAGTCCAAGAGTCGCCCACCTCTTGGACCTCAGGGACCACCAAACTGATAATTTTAAATCCCGCGGACCAGAGACCCCCCTGGGAAAATCCCCCAAAAAGTCTGCAGGAAAATCACCCACCCCATTTTCCTACTGATCCATCGTTCTTTATTTGGGATCTCAGGATACCATCTCCAGCTCCGTTCTCAGGAGGGAAGAAAGAGAGAGACTTTTGGCTTCATGCAAGGAAAGCAGCAGAAGCGGCAGAAGTCTTTCTTTCTCTCCCCCAAATTCCACCAGAAAGGAGTCTTTGTGAGACTTGTCATGCCTCTTGGAGCAGGAGGCCTTGCAGGGTCCCAAAGACTCATTTCTGGTGGAGTTTGGGGGAGAGAAAGAAAGACTTTGGCTGCTTTCCTTGCGTGCAGCCAAAAGCAGAAGAAGAAAGAAGTGGAAAGAAGCAGCCCGGTGGCCAGGCCAGGCACGTGGGGTGACTGGGGCAAGTTCCCACCCTCCACACTTTCCCCCCTCCCCTCACTACCATGTGTTCACAATGCGATGCAAGCCTTGTGTTCCCATGTCGGCCATGTGGGCGGAGCAGCGTTGTGTTCCTGCGCAGCCTGGATTATTTGTTTTTTTGGGGCGGGGACATTTCTCTGCAGACCACCCAAATTGCTGGGTGGTCCCGACTACAGGTAGTCCT